TGTCCCGATGGTGCTAAGTGGTCTGAGGCTTTATGCCTGGTAGGGTCACCCAAGGCAAACCGGTCCTAGGTGAGGATCAGACAAAGAGCAGGCCATAGACCCCTCATGAAGAATAATAATGGATCAGTGTTCCCTCGCCCGGGCGTGGGTCACCGGGGCCCCCCTCTGGAGGTGGGGCACGTTGGTGAGCGCCTGGTGGCCGGGCTTTCACCCACAGAGCCCGGTCGGACACAGCCCGGAGAGGAAACGTTGGTTCCCCTTTCCATGAGCTCACCACTCGTGGGAGGGGCCAAAGGGGTCGGGTACTTTGTGTGTTGGGTGGTAGCTGAAGGCAGGGACCTTGGCAGCCTGGTCCTCGACTATAAAGACTAGTTCTTGGTACATGGAATGTCACCTCTCTGGTGGGAAAAGAGGCGGAGTCGGTGGTAAGGTCTATTCTGGGGTTCTGGAGTGGAGGGTCCGTTGGACTGTGGAACCTCAGATTCAGGAGGATCAATGTGGTTCTCATCGTGGCCGTGGAACACTGGACCAGCTCGATACCCTTAGGGGGGTCCTGGAGGCTGAGTGGGAGTTCATCCAACTAGTGTATGTGTTTTGTGGATTTGGAGAAGGCGTTTGACCGCGTCCCCTGGGGTTTCCTGTGGGGGGTACTCCAGGAGAATGGGGTACCAGGCCCTCTGATATGGCCTGTTGGGTCCCTGTATGACCGGTGTCAGAGCTTGGTCCGCAGTGCCGGCAGTAAGTCGGGCCTGTTCCCAGTGAGAGTTGGACTCCGCCAAGGCTGCCCTTTGTCACCGATTCTGTTCATAACCTTTATGGACAGGATTTCTAGGTGCAGCCAAGGGAGGGCAACCGTTTTGGTGGCCTGAGGATCAGGTCTCTGCTTTTTGCAGATGATGTGGTCCTGTTGGCTTCATCAGAACGTGATCTTCAGCTTTCGCTGGAGCGGTTCGCAGCCGAGTGTGAAGCAGCTGGGATGAGAATCAGCTCCTCTAAATCTGAGACCATGGTCTTGATTCAGAAAAGGGTAGAACGCCTTCTCCGGGTCAGGGATGAGGTCCTGCCCCACGTGGAGGAGTTTAAGTATCTCGGGGTCTTGTTCACGAGTGAGGGAAAGCTGGAACGTGAGATCGATAGGTGGATTGGTGCTGCATCTGCAGTGATGTGGGCGTTGTACCGGTCTGTCGTGGTGAAGAGAGAGCTGAGTCAGAAGGAGAAGCTCTCGATTTACCGGTGGATCTACATTCCTACCCTCACCTATGGTCATGAGCTTTGGGTAGTGACCGAAAGAACGAGATCACGGATACAAGCGGCCGAAAGGAGTTTTCTCCACAGAGTGGCTGGGCTCTCCCTTAGAGATAGGGTGTGAAGCTCGGTCATCCGGGAGGGGCTCGGAGTAGACCCGCTGCTCCTCCACATCGAGAGGAGCCAGTTGAGGTGGCTCGGGCATCTCGTTAATGTGCCTCCTGGTGAGGTTTTCCGGGCACGTCCAACCGGGAGGAGACCTAAAGGTAGACCCAGGACACGCTGGAGGGACTATGTCTCTCACCTGGCCAGGGAACGCCTTGGGATTCCTCGGAGGAGCTGGCCCAAGTGTCTGGGGAGAGGGAAGTCTGGGCGTTCCGGCCTAGGCTACTGCCCCCGCGACCCGACTCTGGATAAGCGGCTGAAGTTACAATGAAAGATTCAACACATATTTCATATTTTAACAGTTGATTCTGGAGACAACACGTCATCTTCCCAGAGACTAAATATTTCCTTCAGCATTTAGTTTAATGTCACCTGTTGAAGGAATTCACTGTTGCTACTGCAGGTGAGCTGTGGAGCTTTGAGAAGTTAAAATGTTTAGATCTAAATATTAATTTGGTTAAATTTGAGTATGTGCTACTATATTAGAACAGGATGAGCATAAATAAAGTGACTGATGGAGCTCCGCTATGTCCTCCTTCTCCAGGTTTTATTTACACCTGACTCAGTGTATCGCCCCTCTGATGGTTCTGAATTCAAAAGCAACAGTGCCTCTTTGGGTTCCTGTTGTCTCAACGTCCGGTGAACCTCACCAGTCGGGCCGCTTTCGTCTGGACCACCGATGAACCGAATTCAGATTTCTAGTCCAGCCAAGAGCTGCAGCCAGGGTCTGCAGGTTAGATGTCTGTCTGAGGTGTTGGGTGGCGCTTAACAGCCGTTGTGTCTAAAATCACTCGAAAGCACTGCAGAGAGGCTCTGACCTTGGGGGAAAAGACAGGATGGTCTCAAAATGCGTGATCACCTGATTGGCCTCATCGAGTGAACGGCGAAGACTAACCAGACTAGGAAGTGATTAGTGAGGAAGTGTTGCTGTAACAAGTGAATTCCCCCACTGTGGGATGAATAAAGTCTATTCTATTCTATTCTGTAATCAGACTAGATGGGCACGTGAGTTAGTCCAGCAGGTGGCAGCACAGAGCTGGACAACAACCTCAGGATCAGTGCATGTTACAGAACATACATAGAAAAGTAT